TTACCAAGTGGGAGATCCCTGATAATGCAGAAAAAGGCTATATTTTGGAAGTTGATCTTGACTATCCATATAAATTATATAAAGCTCATACTTCATATCCTTTAGCTCCTGAAAATATCAAGATTTCTAAAGAGGAAATGAGTAAGTATGGACAAGAGATTATTAATGATTTAAACATTATACAAAGACTAAGAAACTCATTTCAAATCTCAATAATAAGAAAAAGTATATAGTTCATTATCAAGCATTACAATTTTATATAAAGCAAGGAATGGTACTTACCAAAATTTACCGAGCTATAGAATTTAACCAAAGTCCATGGATGAAGCCTTTTATGGAAGAATTGGCAAGATCTTGTGCTTTAGCTAAAAATGATTTTGAAAAAAATATATATAAGCTTCTTGGTAATACAAACTATAGAAAAACTGTAGAGAATGTATGCAAATATCAAAGAATAGATTTTGTTAGACCAGAAGGAGAATCAAAAAAGTTTAAAAAATTAGTAGCTGATCCAAATTATAAGTTACATAGAATTTTAGCAGAAAATTTAGTAGGTATTTCTCGTCATCAATCAAAAGCTAGACTTAGTAAACCTATCTTTATTGGTATATCTGTCCTTGATGAAAGTAAGATTACCATGTATAATTTTTATTATAATATTATAAAAAAATGATATGGAGATAATGTAGAAGTAGTATATACTGATACTGATTCTCTTATATTACTTATTCAAACTGAGAATGTTTATAAAGATATGGCAGAAATGTATGAATATTTTGATTTTAGTGATTATAAGCCAGAACATCCTATATACAAAGCTCTTGGAAAAGAAAAGATTATTTTGAATAAAAAAGTTCCTGGTAAGTTTAAGGATGAAAGTTGTGGTACTGCTATGTGGAAATTTTGCAGACCAAGACCTAAGCTCTATAGTTATAATCTTGCTAATGGGAAAACAGATCGAAGAGCTAAAGGGATACAAAAGGTAGTAAAAAAGAATCTTACTCATGATATGTATGAAGATTGTTTAAAATCTCAAAAAGAATGTATAGTAACAATGCATAAATTAGGAAGTAAAAACCATATTATCAGACTTCTTCATTCATCTAAAGTTGGTATTAGCCCTTTAGATACTAAGAGATAGATTTTATTAGATGAAATTACTACATTAGCTTTTGGGGATTGGCGTATACAAGCATATAAAAAATTTATATCAAATAGAATATTTCCAGAGTTGGCTAAACAAAGAGCTTTAAGTGTTAAGCTCTCAAAGAGGTATCAAAATGAATGTGTATTCCATATATCTATAACTCTTTGAGTTGCCCTTATGGGCCTGCTTCATAATAATCTATTTATTTGATTTATTATTTATATAAATTATTAATATATATTGCAAAGCAATG